AATTTAAGTTTTTTCCAACAAAAAACTGATTAGTTTGCTAAAGCTATTTCATTCTTCTAGCGATCTGCCTCGAAAAACGAGTGAAAGAGACTTCTATACTTGAAGCACACGTACATATCAATCCTTTGTCTTGGTCTCCAGAAGGAACTCTGATCCTTTGAAGAGCCAAGAAACAGCTGCTCAAAGCGTGGCAAACGGTTATTCAGTCCCTAAAATCGACGTTTTTTTCATTTTTTCGCAATTTTATCCGAAAATAGATTAAAAGATACCTCTATAGTTGGATCACACATATATATTAGGTACCAATCGCTTTGTCTTGATCCCCAGAATGAATTCTGACCCTTTGGAGGGCCAAGAAAGACCTGATCAAAGCGTGGCAAACGGTTATTCAGTCACTAAAATCGACGTTTTTTTAATTTTTTTGGCAATTTTAATCCGAAAATAGATTAAAAGATACCTCTATAGCTGAAGCACACATACATATTAGGTACCAATCGCTTCGTCTTGGTCCCCAGAATGAAATCTGATCCTTTGAAGAACAAAAAAAGGCTCAAAGCGAGGCAAACGGTTATTCAGTCACTAAAATCGTCGTTTTTTTTTATTTTTTTCGCGATTTTATCCGAAAATAAATTAAAAGAGACCTGTATAGTTGGAGCACACGAACATGTTAGGTACCAATCACTTCGTCTTTATCCTCAGAATGAATTCTGACCCTTTGAAGAACCAAGAAACACCTGCTCAAAGCGTGGCAAGCGGTTATTCAGTCCCTAAAACCGACGTTGTTTTTTATTTTTTCGCGATTTTACCCGAAAATACATTAAACGATACCTCTATAGTTGGAGCACATGTACATATCAGGTACCAATCGCTTCGTCTTGGTCCCCAGAAAGAACTCTGACCCTTTGAGGAGCAAGAAACACCTGCTCACAGCGCGGCAAGCGGTTATTCACTCACTAAAATCGACGTTTTTTTCATTTTTTCGCGATTATTATATTATATTAAAAAATAGATTCAAAGAGACCTGTATAGTTGGATCACATGTACATATCAAGCCACCAGCTTCCGATAGGTAGATGAACCTCACTTACGGAAGTCATTTTAACTTGATCGGTAATCTTTTCCGGTAAAAATCGCGAAAAAATGAAAAAAAAATGTCGATTTTAGGGACTGAGTAACCGCTTACCACGCTTAAGCAGGGGATTCTTGGTTCTTCAAAGAGTCAGAATTTATTCTGAGGATCAAGACGAAGCGATGACTACCTAATATGTATGTGTGCTCCAACTATAGAGGCATTTTTTAAGCTATTTTCGAATAAAATCGCGAAAAAAATGAAAAAAACGTCGATTTTACGGACTGAATAACCGCTTGCCACGCTTTCAGCAGGTTTTTCTTGGATCTTCAAAGGGCCAGAATTCATTCTGGGGATAAAGACGAAGCGATTGGTACCTAATATATATGTGTGCTTCAACTATAGAGGTATCTTTTAATCAATTTTCGGATAAAATTACGAAAAAATGAAAAAAAACGTCAATTTTAGGGACTGAATAACCGTTTGTCACGCTTTCAGCTTTTTTTTTTTGTTCTTCAAAGCATCACAGTTCAATCTCAGGATCAAGACGAAGCGACTGGTACCTAATATGTATGTGTGCTCCAACTATAGAGGTATCTTTTAATCTATTTTCGGGTAAAATCGCGAAAAAATAAAAAAAAAATGTCGATTTTAGTGACTCTATAACCGCTTGCCACGCTTTGAGCAGGTGTTTCTTGGCTCTTCAAAGGGCCAGAATTCATTCTGGGGATCAAGACGAAGCGATTGATACCTAATATGTATGTGTGCTCTAACTATAGAGGTATCTTTTAATCTATTTTCGGATAAATTGCAAAAAAATGAAAAAAACGTCGATTTTAGGGACTGAATAACCGCTTGCCACGCTTTGAGCAGGTGTTTCTTGGCTCTTCAAAGGGCCAGAGTTCCTTCTGGAGATGAAGACAAAGCGATTGGTACCTGATATGTACGTGTGCTCCAAGTATAGAAGTCTCTTTCACTCGTTTTTCCAGGCAGATCGCTAGAAGAATGAAATAGCTTTAGCGAACAAATCAGTTTTTTGTTAGAAAAAACTTAAATTTGCCTGTTTTCTGAGGCTCGCACCTGAAAACATGTTTTTTGGTATAAACCTACAGAAAAAAATTGTTACTGCGGGGTACGGGCAGCAAATTGCAATATCACCATATTTGGCTCCAGTTAAGGTGCGAATTTTTGTAGAATTCCTCATATCTGTTTTTGGTTTATTTGTCGGTAAATGTGTCTGTTTAGTTATATATTTGTTATTGCAAGTATATGCTCAACTAATATCAGTGGCTGTAAACATCACACTTATCACTGTTAAGGATAAATAAGGATTAATGGAATATTTTTAATCTCAATTTTTTTCCATGTCTAATTGAAAGTATCGGGCGTTAACTTTGTCAGGATATATCCTTATTATCGGTGATATGAAGCACGAGATTACAGCCGAATCCATAATGTTGTTAGACAAAATTAAAAATTTATCTAAATGCCTCTAGTAACTTAGTAAACCATAAGACCAAAGTAATGACTATTTGGGAATACTTGCATTTTGTATAACGGTAAACAAAAAAATTCCTCTTGTACATTGATTTATTCATTCATCAAAAGTTTATTGCTATGGATTTTTTTCTTCTTTAGGAATTGAAAAACAAGTAATCTTTTCATATTACATACACATACTCTCCACAATATTATGTCTCTTTCATCTAACTGTATCGTTAAATTCCTATACAGGGTGGATCACTCAAAAGAGTCTACTCTGAGATTTGGTAAATTTCATGATTTTTTATTTTGTAAACAGGCTCAAAAAGGTCAATTTTTATTCCTAACGGGTCATCTTAACGATATAGACATCTGTCATTTGTCAACTCTCTTCCTTCCAGTACCACAAACATCTAATTTTTAATCGAAAATAGATCATGTCTTGCACATCATTAGACAGGTTTTTCGCTAAAAAATTCAATCATCCTGATTTTTCCTCTCATATTAACTCTATTTGTGTGAATAAGTATCATTTTATTCAAACTGTTACACCTCTTAAAACTAAACGTTGAGCCTATGATTTGCTAGTGTTAATGACAGCTTTTTTCTGTTACGTCAAAAAATAAATTAAAAGATGTAATTATTTGAACTTGGTAGCATTTTTCATCGATATTGTATTATAATATATGTAATATATGGCATCCTTAGTGCAAGACTGCAGTAACTCAAAATTTTATGATAAATAAGTAATCATGGAATTCCATTGTAAACATGCATATCTATCCCCTGTAAAACTTTAGTAACTTTCAAATGCTTAACTGGCTAAATATTACAATAACAACAGTTTAACTATTTTGCGTTTTTGTACATAAGTTCCGTGCAAAACTGTTGTAATTATAATGTAACAGAGTTACAACAGTTTTGCACGGAACATTGCAATGGTTTCGATAATAAGCAATGAAAGGCACGAAAAAAGTAAGATATTTGTTTATTTAATATCTATATCTGTGGTGTTTAATTTTAATGTACAGCGTGTTTACATAGTCCAAGGCCGAGACAATAAACAAATATTTACGAGACCAATCTATTCATGTAAGTTTTATGTCCTTTATGTGCCAATATATTTTCCATAAAATGTGTGCGATGTTGTTTGACCATTTATTTATTAGATTGGATTAAAAACACATAAATTAAGACTAATTATTTACAGTCAAAAAGTATTTTTCCTTATGAAAGGAAAAACATTTATCTTGAAACATGTGTATTAACAATACTGACAGGTTAAAAATATATATTTTCAGAAAACTTATTCTATAAGAACTAAATCCCACATTGTATTAAATCTTCATGTCACCTTCTGGCAAATTTTATAAATGGTAGGTACTGTCAATCTACATTACAAATTCTAGAGTTTTTCAGGACACACAAATACTCAGCAGCCATTGAAATTAAACCTATGGCAGGAATTATTGGAGATCGTATTATCTCTTTACAACAAAATTGCACAAAGAAGCACATTTGCATATCTATAGCTTAACCGAATAACTTACTCCGAAAATAGTCCATATGTAATTCTTAAAAGAATCCAAAATATAGTTATTTTACAATATGGTCGATTGACCACAGTGTTCTCTCTGTATGACACCGTGTTGTTAGTAGTTCGAACGCCGATCAAAGACCAGCGGAAAAAGGACCTCTCTAAGAAATTGATAAAACTTAACCTGTCAATACGCGAAACTAAATATTTTTTTTATACACAAAAAAGTTTTTAAAATTACAAAAGTGTTAGTTATTTTTTACAAAAGTTATAAACAATTAAAATTTTGCTGTATTTTGCACTTTTTGGAGCAACCAATTAATTTAAAAAAATACGCCATGTGAAAATACGGCAATGTGAAAGTTTTTTTTATATTTACAGATAAAATTTTGATAAGTATAAATAGGTACCCTTTTAATGATAAGTGGAAATTCGAAAATAGCGCATGTTTCTCACTAAATTGTTAATAAATAAAAAACGACGCCGAAATTTTTCTACAAAAAACTTATAGGTTTACTTATCAACTTTACATATTAACGGAAAAACTTGGCAATTACCTGTCTATTTCGAAGACCTGAGAAGTACTTATTTCTCTAGACTAAAAGTCTCGTCTATCATATCCTTTGCTATTGTTGCTTGAATATGCCGAGAAAAACTATAAGCTGACTTCATATTTAATTGTAATATATTTCTCCTAAAAGTATAAGAAAACCTCATAAAAATAAAATAATCTTACTACGTTAATAAACTCAATATAATTATCATAAAAAGATAATATTCATAAATTTTATAACATTTTATATGCATATGTTAATTAAGCAGAAAAAAAAATTGAAAATAATTTTGAAATACCTTAAAGAGATAACATATCAGTGTATTTGTTAATAAAGGTACTTCTTACACCAACCTTTAGCCTTGGAAGCATTACTTTTTATTCTGATTGTATTGTGAATAATAATATGCAGTGCTTTAATTTAATCATACAAATATCAGCCAACAGATGCAGCAGATGTAAAGCATAATTAGTAAAATAACATTGTCATAAATATGTTCCTATTAGAACTCAAGACTAAACTACTCGTATAACATGGTACATTTTACTATAGAAAAATTGGTTAAAGTCTGTGACAAGATGTCGTCTTGGGAAAGATTCGTTATCTTTCTTTCTGAGTTTGCAGGTACTGGTACGTTTGTTCTTCTAGGATGCTTAGGATGTTTAAGTGGAAATCCTGGAATAATAACTTTCGGTTTTGGATTTGCTATTATGATTTGTGTACAGGTAAGTATATAAAATAATATTTTCTTTTCATATTTTCATGTTTAATGGCTGGTATCTGTTTAATAATCGTATATATACACTACTGCCCAAAATGAACGCACCACGTTAAATGTACCATAAGTTTGAAGCTATTTTTCTTCTGAACAGATTATTGGATTTTAATGTTATTTTTCTCACCTTATTATTATCATTATAATATTATTTCTAGTCAATCACCGTAATAATGTTTTCTGAAAAATATCAACGTTTTAACCGTATACGGGATGTAAAAAAAAGTTGTACTTTTTCATCTTATTTTGCAACACCGTATGGAATTTCTGAAACACTACATCTTATTAATGTTTCGAGATATCTTCATCCTTTTTTAAACGATTTTTGTACAAAAATTATCTAGATATCTCTCTTATTAAAGATTATACATAAGTTTAAATTGTACAAATTTTAATCAACATTTAAGCAAAGAAAACACTACTGATATAAACTTTATTAACATTTAATATAACTAAAACCTAACATAATCGAAATATTCTTGATTAATTCCCTCCCCTTATGTACACCTCTACATCCAATTACTTCTTCACAGTGACGAGGCATACTTAAAATCAAGCGGCGTATTTGGTCTTGATCAATTGCATCCCAAACTTCTCTCACCATAACTTCTTTGTCTCAAGAGAGACAGGTGGTGCTGGTCTGCTCCTGAGTTGACGTTTAATAATATTCCGCAAATTCTTTATGGGATTTCAATCAGAGTTGCATGGTGGACAGTTTATGTTTTGTATTCAAACCTCGTCCACATAATCACTTACCAGACGTGCAACATGTGGTCGAGCATTATCATGCATTAAAAGAAAATTTTTCTTATGTCATTAGTAAATGGAACTACATGGTTAGACAAAATGTCTAACTTTCTCTTGTTAAGAAACCTCTTTGTAAAGCAACAAGGTCCGTTCGCGCTGTAAGATATATTCCTTCCCAAACCATTACAGATTCTGCATTGAAAGAAGAAATAGGTCATATACTGCACTGTACATAGCGTTCTCTTGGCGGTCGAATAATGCTTACATGTCTATCCAAGCTATATAAGCAAGACCTCCATTCATCAGTGAACAACACGTGCTGCAGTCATTAGCATTTCAGACTAGGTGCTCTTTAGCAAATTGTAATATACTTCTACGATAATTTACGTTTAAAGCTAATGCTCTGACTGGTATACTTACATGCTGATCTTGTTCAGCGCGACGACTTTGTATAATAGTGTGTCGTTGTGACAAAACGTTCTCTTATAGCACAAAGTCTGATAAAATTTGTTGGTCAGTTTTTATCTTCCTTGTCCACGCCGTCTCGTATGGCCGTTTGATCGAATATCAATAAATAATATCGTCAATATTATCGAGGAGCTCTATGGCCTCGATGTTTGCATGATTATGGAGCATTGTTTATGACTACCTGCCATCTTCTTCATAACTTTATCTACATCTTGCATCTCAAGCTCCTTGTGAAGGTCGGCATTTCTGATGTACCAAGGAACATTAACCATATTTCTTAGCCCTTTATTCTTGAATCTCCTGATCTAGATATTACTTGACTTGGCACAGCCCCTACATGAGAAGACTTCATATGGAGATTTCCCTGGTTTTGGTATCGTTATAAACTAAAACAATTTTTCATAAATTTGGGACATATCTCAACTAAATGCAGTATTGACGTTGGCCAATTTGACTATGGCTGTATGAGTAAGGTTTTTTAGTAATTCGCAAGTGATTAGATCATGCTCTGGCACTTTCTTAAGATGTATATTGTCTTTTACTTCATCAGCTACTTTCTTCGGAAAGTTGCTGATGAAACGATATTTGATCATTAACTTGGTCATCATACGGTTTCAATGTATTTTCTAAATATGTGGCAAATCTGTCTGCCTTTTGTTCATTGCTTTTAGCCTAGCTACTATCTTCGTTTAATGAGTGGAGAATGAGTTACTGGTGTTTTTAGCTTTTTGTTGCTTTCCATAGAGCGTACCCAGTGATGCTCTTATCCGTTGTCTCTCTTAGGTAAGAACTGATTTACTCATTTTTTATGCTTTGAATCTCTCTTTAAGTTTTTGACTAGCATTGTTTAAATTCGTTTTATCTTTGAAAGCTCTGGTTTGTTGCCACTTCCTTCTTAGTTTTCTTTTCTCTTTAATATACTTTTGAATATATTTTGGATAATTGTTTTTTTTTTAATCTTAAGGTAGGAGTACTTTCCCATGCTAATGTTTGTAGGTTTTGAACAAAGAACTCCAAATTATTTAAAGGTCAACATAAATTCTTCAGCTATTTTTAAATTAAGCTGGTAGAGGAAAAATAAATGCAGATATTACATCAATCTTTCAACCATTCACGCAGGTACAATGACACAACAGATAACAGTACTGTTGAGATTCTTATCTAGCACAGACGTGTCGTATCTAAACATATTCTTCGAAATAGCAACGCGAAGTAGTTTGAAGTGTGAAATACTAGATACAATTATTGGTGTTTTCAATTATTGTATTTTACCAACTAAGTGTGACAATGTAAAGTGCGTTCTCTTTATTCGTAATGAACTTAAGTTGACAAATAATAATAAAGATCTATCTATCGCTGACGTCTCAAATGCCGTTGCAAATAAAGTAGAACAAATATAAATTCCAACATTATCGCTTAAGCGCATTCAAGATTTGTTTAAAAATATTTATACAAAATCTTGAGCGATACACAAAAACTCAGCATGCATCTGATTCATCCAAAGAAAAGATTTTCCAGTTTCGAAAGGAGTGTGAAAAGTTATTTGATATCGCGGTTTACAAGTGCAACATGACTGAAACTGTGTATGTGTGTACTTGTGATAAAATAAAGAAAGTATCACAAGTAAATTTTTCTTCAAGATCAACGATCTGTAAAAAAATGGCAATTAAACCACAGATATTGCAGCATCTGCTGCAATAAGGAAGAAAATTGAAAAAACCGTGATGACAAAGGCATGTTCTCAAAAGTATAATACTGACGATATTGTTCTTAAAGCATGTACCGTTAAATCATCTAATCGATTCATAAGTAATAGCTTGTCTGCCTCAAATTCTTCTGATGCAGATGATCACGAAAAAGAATTTATTGCTCCTTTGTCAACAGTTACAGTCCAACCATCTATGTCACAAATGCGGATTTGCTTGTTAAGTTTATCTTCGGCGTGTGAGAGAACCGGGGTCTCCGATGGGTCTCCGATGTTATATCCAGAAGCAGAAGGAAGGACTGCCAATCAGAAGAATATTGCGGAACCTCACTTTAAGGGCTAGTATGCTTATTTCATTGCAATGAACTACCTCTACGTCATTTAATCTAACAGGTAGATGGACGCACCAGTGAACCACTTAGTTTTTCAGGGCCAATAAGAAAACTTCTGGAATACTGAGAAGAGAAGGCTGTTGTCGATTTCGTCGCAATAGAAAACTATCTACCAATATTATTAAAAACAACAGACTTTAGTAACAATCAGAAATACTTGTACCAAATCGGTCAAGCAGTTGCTGAGAGAAAAGGTCCAAATGATTTGAGCCTTAAAAAAACCGGGGAAAATATTACACGCAAGGTGACTGACAGTTGCTAATCAGATGCTTCGATTGTATGTTGAAACTAAATGTCCTAACCCTCAATTAATTAAGTAAGTTTTATCCAAAAAGTGTATGCATCAGTTTGGATTTATATTAAACTGTATCCTAGCTGATTTAAAGCTGTCCTAGCTGGTTTAAAACATTTACGGCGAATGATCCATTATTCACGATTTCTACCAGTTGGCCAAAGAAAAATTGTCGATGTCGTTAAAGAGAGAAATGAAGAAATGCTTATTTTGCCTATCCCGAAAATTGATTACTAGGTATAATGAAAAGTGAACGAAGACGAAACTAGAACTACGCAGAGTGCTGAAAGCTAGACAAAGTTAGAAAGAAAAAAAGATCCAGAGATTCGAAATACCAACATTAAATTTTAGTGCTGTAGATCATATTGACTTAATTTCTGTTTTTGAATGCACTGTGGTGGCTTCTTCTTTGCTAAAACATATTTTCAATAAAGATGTAAGGGATATGATTGATTCTGGGAATCACAACAACATAGAGGTCTTAAACTGCCCCTGTTAGACCCAATCCGTAGAAAGAACTGTTAAATTAGTAACTGAAGCATCAGGTGCTGTATCAGAAGGGATGGCTTTATTCGTTCAATGTTGCAGTCTGGAAATATTATGCCGCTTTTTAAAATATATTAGACTACCAATCATAAAATGTATATTGTATCATAAAACCATTATTTAGATTTAAAAAACTGATAAAAAAATTAATTGTTATTCCCAAAAATTTAAATATAATATGGAACCTAAATATGGAGTCTAATACAAAAAAGATCTCTTACAGTTTTAATATACATCACAATGCAACTTTTTTGCAATAGCCTCATAAAAAATATTGACTTCAAAATTTTGTTCCACCCAACTATACATTCCACGATCTTGAGGTCTTTCTTTTTAGACTCATTTATGGCATACCATCTGTATTTAAAGTGTTTATTCTTTACTGTAAACTGTATTTATTAATTGTTTTTCTTTTAATCTTAAGGTAGGAGTACTTTCCCATGCTAATATTTGTAGGTTTTGAAGAAAGAACTCTACTTCCTCATCTAATTGTCCAGGTTTTTTAATGGCACTGCTAATTCAATTTTATCTTCGAGGATTGATCTAAAACTTTTCAAGTCTATTATTTTATTTGTTAGTATTGAGTTACAATCCTTTCTAATGATCATATCACTCACAGTGAGTATCATGGGTGAATGATCTGATTTCATATTTCAACCATCATAAATGTCCATCTAGTTAGATGAGATATTTTTAAAAACGAAAAACTCAATTAAGTTCGGCTGGTTGTTTCTATCTGTTGGTGAATAAGTCGGTCTATATGTAACTATTACTTCACATTTCTGTTCTTTTATGACTGCCAGTAATTCTTTTCCTTTATTTGTTATCAATCTTAATCCACATTGGGTGTGCTTTGCTTTAAAATCACCTCTAATGATATATCTTTTTCCAAAACTTTTCATATATTCTACACACTGTTCCTTTTGAATTAAATGATTAGGGGAGCTATAAATTGAGCTTACAATAATGTCATAGTTAGTTTTAAGTTTGACACATAAGTTTGTAGTTGTGTTGAACTCATAATGTTGAATGTTATCTTTTATGATTATCGCTGTGCCTCATTTTGCTTAATTGTCAGGATATATAGTGTGGTATACCTTGTATCTTCTAAACTTTATGAAATATTGTTAAGTGAAATTTGTTTCAGATAGGAGACACAAATTAGTTTCTTCTATATCTAGGATTGCTTGCAGCTCACTTTGATGTTGTAGAAATCCGTTGTAATTCCATTCCGCTCCTTTTAGCGCCATGTTCCAATCTAGCCACTCTTACATCTATTTGAGTTATTTTATCATGTATCAAGTTGTTCAAATATCATTTTTATTGTATTTTCGGTTTTCAATTCTTGTTGCGATTGTTTTGCATTATTTAATATATCACTATATGTTTTATTTTTAGTAACTTTTTGCACTTTTCCCTTCTCATGAACCCTTTGTTTTGGAACATTTCTGTATTTATCCTCTGATTTCTCAACTTTTGTATTTTTTTGGCTACATAACATCTTCGGTAGTCATAGATAATACTGAAAATCTTACATATTATTCTTAAAGATTCATTATTTAGAAGTTTATAATTTCAGACTTACTCCGTCTGGTCCTGGAGCTTTTTAATCTTTTATTTTCCTCATTATAGCTGCTCTTATTTCTGCCCCTAGTATAGGTGGTCAAGTTTCTGTAGGTAGTGGGAACTGGTAATTATTAACACTCTCTTTGTATTTTTTCTCCAGTTCTTTGCTTTTTTTTCTGACCACAGAAATTTAACTTCTCTGATCTTTTTCTCTCTCCTTGTAATATTTTAAATGAAACAGTATCGTTCTTATGATTCCTTATTTCTTTAATGAGCTGCAAAAATTCGGTCTTCATTTACGTCTTATTATTACTTTCTTGTTCCTTCATACAATTGTTTTTGATGTTCTCTATCGCTTTATAGAGGGACTCTATCTTATCTGCTGTGCCTTTCATTGTACTATAGTTTTTTTTTGTGTTTTCTATTTATTATTTTGCTGAATACAGTCATTGGCCACTTAAGGAATTGCTAATTGAATTAAAATTGTAAGGGGTTATCTTTTAAAGTGAATTGTTTTTAAGGGTTTTTATTAGCAATAAAATATCAAATTTTCAAATTATCAAAGTTTTTCATTTTATTTTTGCATTTTCCTTTTATTTGTAGCAGTCGGTTGGTTTAGAAATAATTTTCTATAGTATTTTTGAGATCTACTTGATTTATTATATCATTTTTCGCTTAGAACAATATTATTTTTCGTTTTTCCTTTACCGATCCTTTTATTTTCTTTTATGAGATTTTTGTTCCCCTCTTTTAACTTGTTTATTTCCATTGAATATGTTTTTTGCTCTTTTCTTATTGTTCTTAGAGTTGCTGATTTCTTGAATTTGGTGGGTGTTTGATAATGATGAATTATCCTATTGTTTTATACTATCTAGTAATTTTGAGGTTCTCTTTTTCTAATCTAATTATCAGAATATTTAGCAGTTTATGGTTTTTTACGTGATATGCAGTTCTAAAATTTAGTTATATGATGTTAAATTTCCTTAAAATATCAATATGAAATTAACTATTTAAAAATAATGTATACGTGTATATACAGGGTGCTTGGTAGGTCGATGGAAATTTTTTAAGGGATAATAGGGAACGCCATTTGCAATTTTTTTGCTAATAATGTATCGCTCAAACTGTTAAGGTTTCCGAAATAAAGTTAAATTTCTCAATATTCGAAAATAAGGCTGCTCGTCTATTTTATTTTTAAAAATAATTATCTAAGCGAGATACTTCCCTGACATGCAAAATGCCTTATGTATTGCCTGCTCAGATTGCGAAAATCCTTCGTTGAATCTTAATGCATTGTTAAAATAACCTTCATTAATGAAACGGGTAAGAAAGGTAAAATACAACAACGATACATCATGCTTTTTGCAATATTTATTATGCCTTATTAAGTATGTACATAGAAAACAGTCATTGTTGTTCAAAATGAGAACCACCATTCCTTATGCTTACTTTTAACCTCAGTTCTGCCCTAATAATGTCAGCTGCTTCGATAATCCTTTCCATTAAATGAGCTTTTGTTCGGATTGGAACTTGATAAACAAGTTCTTTAAATCTGCCCCAGATGTGGTAGTTACAAAGTGTTAAATCGGGCGATCTAGCAGGCCACAAAAGCGGTCCAGTTCATCTGATCCACCTATTGGGATAGTCATTGTTGAACCAAGGTATACTGACAAATTTAACTTTATTTCGGAAACCTTAACAGTTTGTGCGATACATTATTAGCAAAAAATTTTGCAAATGGCGTCCCCTATTATCCCTTAAAAAATTTCCATGGACCTAGCAAACCCTGTATAATATATGTATTCAAAAAAATATTTTGTTAAGTCAAGCATATCCTTATTTCCAAATTTCAATTATTTTTTAGGTATTTGGTCATATTTCTGGAGCACATGTTAATCCAGCTGTAACTACAGCTGCTGCTATTTTTGGCAAAGTTTCGTTAATTAATGTACCAATTTATATTGTTGGTCAAATATTTGGTGCAATATGTGGCTTTGAACTTCTTAAAGTAAGTAAATATCTGTCTCACCTTTTATAAAATTCTGTCTAGACACTTTCTCAGAAAAAATTGTTTTTGGTATTTTTTCGACTTTTAGAAATTTTAAAAAATGTTCATATATATTACTATAGGAGTCAAGCTTAACGATTGCTAATATTTTGCATTTAAGATCGTGTTAATAATTAAGGATATATATTGAAAAATTTCTAAAAAGAAGGATGTGTCCCGAACATACAAACTGATGATGACTGCGAACTTATAGTTCAGAATTTCAGAAACCGCGTACTGCGCCAAAATCTAAACCTGTGAAATCTAGAAGCCACTAGCTTCGCTCGTACCATAACTTTTTACCAGGATAACTTTAAGTACAGGAAGTGCTGCTCAAGCACAATTTCACTTCTGAAAACATATATAATATAGACGAGTCTGGGCTGTCTACTGTATATACGCACTCAGTTTTAGCCCTAAAATGGGCAAAATAAGTGAGCAACGTGTCTTCAGGCAAAAAAGGTAAAGACGTCAGTATTAGTGCTTATGTAAATCCGCTAGGAAATTCGGTGCATACTTGTATGATATTTCCTAGAGTGAATTTTAAGCCCCACATGCTTAATGGCACACTCCTAGGAACATTGGGTCTTGCTACTCATAATGAGTGGTTCGACGCTGAAAAATTAGAAAATTTTTTAAACCACTTTATAAAACATGTCCTACCCAATGTGAAAAACAAAATTCTCCTAATTATGGACAATCACACGAGTCACTTGTCTATTAAAATTATAAATTTGGCCAAATAAAAACGGCGTACTCATGTTTACATTCCCTTCTCATAGAAGCCAAAAGCTACAGCCCTTAGACAGCTCCATTTTTGGCCCACTAAAAAAAATTATACAGCAAAGCTGGTAATGATTAGCAACGCTCCTGTAGTGGCGGCCGGTCAGGGTCGGCAGGGCCGGCAGTGCCGACCCACATCTTTATAGATATTATAGATTTTTTAATATTTAATTTAATCAGTGGTTCAATAAATAATTGTGGCAGGTAATCAGTTGATGTCATTTGTTTTTGTGAACTAAAAAAATATCTGTGAGATAATAAAGACTAAACTTAATTCATGGTGTTTAAAAGAATTCGACCAGACTAAATTTTATTCATGGTTTTTAAAAGAATGTGTCCAATCTAAGCGTTATCCCTGCGTAGACACCTTTCAAATAGATGATTCGATATTTAATATCGGAGACATCCATTCGCCTGTGAATTTTTAAAAAGGCACGTTTTGTTTTTTCGGCTAGCCGATCCCAACCTTGACTTTACTTGTAAAAATCAACGGAATATTGGTTGATTAGCAACCAAATATACATTTCTTTCCATATGAACTTAATTACCAAGTACGGCAAATTTAGATTTGCCGATATTTCTTTGGATTGGTGATTGGTCGCGAACTGTACATTGCGAGCCTGGGACGACATGTTATTTCATATATGTAGTATTAGTAAAGTGAAGTCCACAAGGAATCTATCAATCTACGTTAATGTGAAGTGATATACAGTGCACGAACTAGCCTTTCTTTTTGTGATTTATTTTTTATTTTCTAAAGTAATACTGTGATACGTTACGTCTGCCGTAAATAGTTAAAGGTTAAAGGGTTTTTTTGACATATTAGAAGTTTTTTTTAATTAAAGTGTAAACAAATTCAGGTAAATTAACCTAAAAAATGCAAGCCAAGGGAGAAACTGTAAGTATTGATAAGTCTGACATTGTAAATTATATTTTGCATAATGGGTTTTCATCTATTCTATACGAAGAACAAATTGTTATTAAAAATAAGAGGCGTCCTTTGCCTAAAATGTCCCGGCTTATAAATATTAGTGCGGGTAAGGGAAGTAATAGATCATTTTCAGATAATTGGTACAGCAAGTACTCATGGCTTACCGGGAGTGAAATAAAAAACAAACTTTCCTGTTGGCCTTGCATTTTATTTTCGACAAATAGGGGTAAACATCAAAATCTGTGGTGTGAATCTGGTTACGATAATTTAAAGGAATTATTTAGGGCTTTACATAAACATGATATTTCGAAAGATCATATTTACAGCCAGATTAAATTAGATTTATTTGGAAAACAAAATATCTATGTTTCATTAGATAATGCCGAACGTAAAAATGCTATTAAACATAACGAAATTGTAAAAAATAATCACGCAGTTTTACGTCGTTTAATTGATATTGTAATTTTTTCAAAATGTCAGAAATTATCGTTTAGGGGGCACGATGAATCGGAGCATTCGTTAAATCAAGGTAATTATAGAGAACTAATAAAAATGTTTAAGAAATACGATTTGGAATTTTCTAATTTACTTTCTGATTCGAAGACATTTTGCGGTGTATCTAAAACAATCCAGAATCAATTAGTTACATTTTGAGAAACGTTACTGAATCTGAGATTAAGGAAACGATTTGCTTTTCACTAGAAGTAGATGAAACTACCGACATATCATGTCATTCACAATTATCAATTGTTGTTCGATACGCGTTACGTGGTAATATCTATGAGAGATTTTTAGATTTTACAGAGGTAAGTAAAAGCCATAAGGCAGAACATATTTTTGGTGTTTTAAAGGACAGATTAAAATTTTTTGATATCAAAAATAAATTGGTAGGGCAAACTTATGACGGCGCTGCGGTGATGTCTGGTGAATTAAATAGTCTCCAGGCAAAAGTTAAAACTATTGCACTGCAAGCTTTATTTACTCATTGTCATGCGCATAGAATGAATTTAGTTTTGCAAGATACATGTAAAAACATTAAAGAATGTCGTCTTTTTTTGCCAGTTTAAATGGATTTGCTTCATTTTTCTCAAGCTCGCCTAAACGGACTAATGTTTTAGAACGGTTTGTTTCGAAAAAAATGCCAATGCTCGGTTAGTTTTCACTGTAGCAGATTTTCGTGAACAGCGTTTGAAAGTTTTTAAATTTATTATTGAATGTGACGATTTTGAAAGTGATGATGTCTCGATCCGTGAAGCAATCGGTTTGAAAACTTTATTAAATGATTACTATTTTTACATACTTTTAAATATTTTTAAGAAAGTGTTTACCCAAACCGATTTGATATTCAATGTTGTTAAAAATCACTTAACTGACATTATTCATTCCAAAAATAGAATAACAAGACTGGTGCAAAATCTCAGAGATTTTCGTAATGATAGTAATTTAGAGTATATACGCAGTGACGTTTTGGACTCGCTTGATATTTCCGAACCCCCAAAAAAAAAAGACAAGGGCATGACACAGCAACAGATCTCGAAAAAACGAGTATATTTTAAAATTTTGGATACTATTATTATGCAAATGGATACTCGTTTTTCAAATTTTGAAGATTTGCAAATTTTTGACCTCTTTGACGATTCAAAATTTAAAAGTTACGCCAAAGAATTTCCAAGGTATTTATTAGACAGGTTAATTACAAATTATCCATCATTCTTTAATAAAATAAAATTAGAAAATGAATTAAAAGTTTTATATGCTGATCCAAATATTTTTGATAAGATGGGGATAAGTTACAAGATATGTATAATTTTATATACTGCAATTCATTACAACAAACTGTTACCAAAATTAATAAATTATTGTCATTAATTCTCTCATTAGCACCAACGTCTGCCTCAAATGAACGAGATTTCCCTTGCCTCAAAAGAATCAAAACTTATTTTCGAAATACCATGAAACAAGAGAGAATGTCAAGCTTGTCTCAAATGTCAATAGAAAAAAGACTTTTAAAATCTCTCCAAAACTCTAATAAATTTTACGATGACGTTATTACCCATTTTGCTACTTCCAAAGAACGTAGACTAGAGTTAATTTATAAACATATTTAGGTTCTAAATTTATAGGAAAAAACAAAAAAAAAATCAAAAAACAAGAAAACAGAAAATTTCCTATGATGATTGAAGTCTTTATTAGACGGTATACCTATCTGAGGAGACAAAAAATACCTTGCCGACCTTGTCTCTCAAACCACGAGCCGCCACTGGCTGACTATTATAACGTTCCGAAGTGTTTTGGAATTACTTTTGGTATATATACCGTTTACACCTTCTAACATATAAAATGATTATAAAGTGACGGGAATATGGCCATTTAATGATAATATTTAAGGGTACACGGAAAAAAGCGGTTAAGTTCATTTTTGTCGAAATTACAATTTTTACGCCAATTTGTAGTAAATTCCAGTTTGCATCTTTTTAAACGTTTATACAAGGCAATAACAAGACAAGTCACGAGGAAAAGCCCATAAATATATGCTCATACACGACAAAAATGAGTTTATGCAGTGTAGAAAAACAACAAGCTTAGTCTAAAACATCGAGACGCGACGGCTTCCTTATTTCGGCATCAGTCAGTCATAACAACGTTCATTTTGTGTTACGTCATATTTACTTTTAAGTGCTTTTCGAAGTTTGTAGTAGTTTGGTGTTACAACTATATTAAATTTGGCTAAAAATTGGATGTAAGTGAAACTGAAAGCGAAAATAAATATGTTGTGCAACATTTTGTACCAAGTTCCAAGTTGAATAAAAAACTGCGTCTACAGAGCTATGAGTTCGGTACGGAGTGCTTCTGCAAGCGATTTAATTGCTTTGCTAAAATGTCGCAGGCTTCAAAACAACAAATTTTAAGAGAATTTCATAACTTAATAATTTTTTGTTAATGAACAAAATCTGTATGCGTGATCTATGATTTGTGGCTGATAAGAATTGTACCGGTAGAAAGGAGACGCCCTAGAAAACATGAGAATAAAATAACTTTAAAAGATTGTGTTGTTACGTACAAGGTGAAATACTCCAAAGAAAAAATATCGTACTCGAGGAGAAGAACGGGTGACGTCAAGAATTTAAAGCCTTGTACGGTATTATGAAAAGCAAGATCGAAAACTTAGTCAAACCTTTATAAAGTGGTGGAATAGCCCCCAAAGATAAACGCAGATCACATAGAAATCGTCATGGAAAAATTCCTG